CTTAGAAGCACCCCTGCTTCTTAGAAGGCGCGGGCCTTATCCACAGATGTAAGGCCGTCGCCTTCTAAGAAGCAGCCTCCTTCTGAGAAGCCCTCCCCCCCACCCCTCCCTCCACCCCCTTGTGCGCACTGCCAAGATGTGGGGGAGGGGGGCGGGGGGGCGTCGACGGCGCGCGACGGCAGGGGCGGGTCGCGGGCGCCGTCGGTGCGCCTGGGCGCCGTGGACGGCGCCACCGCGGCCAGCATCAAGCGCATGCTGCACGTCGGGCGTTACCCGGCGATGTGGCTGGAGGAGTGAGCAGGGCTCATTTCGACTCCTCCGATTCGATTCGGTTCGATTTTGATGGCTTCCGATTCCGATTTGATTCGATTTGGGATTTCGATTTGGGTTCCGATCTCTGATTGGACGCATACTAGTTTGCCGATTTCTGCCGATTCGACTTTTCCCGACTCGGCTGCCGATTTCCGCCGATCCGACTCATTTCGATCGCCGATCCCATTTGTCGATTCGATTCTGGGCTCCATGAGGCCAGAAATCCGATCGGAGGTTGATATACCTCCTACCCTGACGCGTCGATTAGCGACTTGGCCGTTTTCGGTTCGTGAGAGGGCGCCGCGGCCGTTCTTTTTGCGGTCTGGCGATGTGGATGGAGGAATGAGGCCAGAATTCAGTGGGCCTTGGAAACGACAGGGCCGTTTGTTTACCCGTTCCGTTGTGCATTTCTTTGTTGGTTCCGACGCCGCTGTTTTGGCGGTTCCGTCGCCGTTGTTTACTGGTTTCGGCTCTGGTTCCAATCCTGGAGCCGTTTCCGGTCGCCGTTCTTTCGCCGTTTCTATGTTCAAGAGAGACTTTTTCGGAAACGGTGAACAAAACTAAGGGCCAGAAGGTTTAAGGCGGCGCAGTGATTCATCGGGCGCGCTCCACTACTCGCAAAGTGCCCACTCCCAAACGTCCGAACAACAAAAGCGTGTCTTCCTCTATGTGATGCCAGGCCATTTGCGGCGGAGGAGGAGGAGGAGGAGGAGGAGGAGGAGGAGGAGGAGGAGGGGCAGGGGGAGGGGGAGGGGGAGAAGGAAGAGGAGGAGGAGGAGGAGGAGGAGGAGGAGGAAAAGGAGGAGGAGGAGGAGCAGGAGGAGGAGGAGGAGGAGCAGGAGGAGGAGGAGGAGGAGGAGGAGGAGGAGGAGACAAAGCAAAGTCCCCCGCGGCCGATCCAGGCCGTTTGCGAGCATTTGTTTCGCGAGCATCGGAACGCGCTTGTCCGGTGACCACACCGGCGGGGCGAGCGCACAGTGCTTCCGGATCTATGTCCGCGCCTCGCCGACGGGTGCTCTCGGGCAGCCGCGCCTCGTTGTGGCGGGGGCGGCAAAGAGGGGGGTGGTGACTACACCTTAGGCGATGCTTAAGAAAACTTAAGTTTTCGACCAGAGTCTCGATGATTCTTAATGTTTCAATGTAAATCCTAAGGTTTTAATGGGAACGTTGGGTTTTAATTCAAGTTCTGAGACTATGAATTTCTTAACCCATGATTTCTTAAGCATTTCGCAGGGTGTAGGGGGGGGATCTCATGGCGTGGGCTATGATAGTTCCTCAGATTTCTGTTGCGCCTCTTTCTGTTTCACTACATCCCTGAGTCCCCTCCCTGGGCCGCGCACGTGCCGCCAGCCGTGATTTGCACCCCCCCCTTGGACGCTCCCTTCTTGGCCGCCCCCGATTATGGGCCTTTCTGGGGGTGCCCAGATCGTCCCGAGCGGCGGCCAGAGGTCCGAGGTATGCCCGAAAAGCCCTAGGCTTCGAGGTATGACTGGGGCCCCTTAACGGCGCGGTGACCACACCGTCTGGTGAGTCGGTGGGGGTTCGATGTGGCCGCACAGTTATGAGGCTTTGGTCGTTCTCCGAGGATGTCCCGGGCGATTGGGGCCTGCGAGGTTCGAGGAGGGACGTCAAAGATGAATCTGGGTTGGATAACAAGCCAGGATTGACCCCAGGAGGGGTCCTGGGATCGTTTTTGAGCAGCGTTGTTCGTCGTGTTCGTCGTCGTTGTTGTTTCTCATTCGTCTTTGCGGGCGTCGGCGTCGTGGCCCTCCACCTCCTCCTCCTGCTCTTCTTCCTGTTCCCTCCTCCCCTCCTCCTGCTTCTTCTCCAACCTGCTCCGCATCCGTCTTCACGAGTCGACGTCGTCGGTCAGAGGAGGAAAATCATACCGCTACCGCTACCCTTCCGTCGTCGCCGCGGCTGGATTGCCTTTTTAACATCATGCTCAGAAGGCACACGGGGAGAGGTCCAGGGAGTAGCGGTATCGATATGTTGTCGCCTTGCAGTCGGAGGAGGGGGAACTCAACTCGCGGAACTCGGAGGTCCGCGAAAACATGTCAGAGGGCATCGTTGCCGGGGGTGTGCGCTACGCTGAAGACGCCATGCAGACCAGCGGAGGAGGGGGACGAAGAGGAGGGCAAGGCGGCGGAGGGCGAGAAGGAGGCGATGTGGGGGCTGGGAAAGGGAGGTGCGCCGTCGTCGCGGAAGGAGATGGCGAAGGATGATCAGGAGGATGCAGGAGGAGGAGGAGGAGAAGGAGAAGGAGGAGAAGGATGAGGAGAAGAAGGAGGAGGTTGATAAGGAGGAGGAGGAGGAGAAGAAGCAGGAGGAGGAGAAGGAGAAGGAGGAGAAGGAGGAAGAGAAGGAAAAAGAGGAGGAGGAGGAGGAGGAGGGACGAGGAGGAGGAGGGACGAGGAGAGACGAGGAGGATCTCAGAAGAGGGCAAGGTACCGATACGGGCTGGATTCGCATCGAGATCCTGGCCACGACGCAAGCTTGGAGAGGTCCAGGGAGCAGCGGTTTCGGTGTCTTTTTGTCTCCCCATGGACGCGCCGAGCGGACTCAGAGGAGGAACAGGCACCCATACCGCTACATTTCCCGCGTTGTCCCCTTTTTGGGCTTCCTGGGCGGCCCTCGTCGCCACAGCTGGATTGTCCTCGAAAACCTGGTCAGAACGCACCCCAGGAGAGGTCCGGGGAGTAGCTGTATCCGTAGTTCTTGGTTTCCCGGAAGTCGAGGCGGAACGGGAAAGCGAAGGAGGCAGAGCGGGAGGACGATGTCATTCTCAGTATCATATTCGTCGTCTTTGTCTGTCTCCCTTTCTTCCTCCTGCATCGTCTTTACTTCTCTCATCCCATCCTCACCCCTCATGTGTGTCCTCTTCACCCCCTTCCTCGACAATGTTCTCACCTTCTTCTGCTACCCCTCTTCGTCCTGATCTGTGTACCTCCTGGAAGATTCTGTCAGTTCGTTCACTCTGGCTTTGCGGAATGGGGGGCCATACATGGGGCATGAAGAGTTGTGAGTTCATCGTGCCCTAAACGTGCCATAAAAGGGCCTCCCTGGGGCCCAAAGGGGCGCGGAAGGTGCACGTGCATCCCCCATCTCCCATCGATCGCCCCACATTAAGCAATGCCCGATTCACATGTATTGCCGTTGTCTCCGTGTGTGTTGCGTGCGCAGAGGAGTGGTTCGGGCCTGCCAACCTCGAGCGCGCAAACCTGCGCATCACGGGGATGGAGACGTATGCCATCGTGGCGGCCGTGTTGCTCCAGGTGATGCGGTGGGCAGATCGCTCCCTCGCCCCCCCCCCTCACGGTTCGAAAAAAAAAAAAATTGCACGAACATGCATGTTCGGCGGTCCGCGCGGGTTTCTTGGGTTAAGTCGGGCCTGTCCCTCTACAGGGGGACTATTCAAAAGTAGTCAAAACATAGTCCTGGGACAACTGTTTGACTACTTGTGACTATGTTTGAACATGTTTTGAATATGTCTTCATTTTTCGCCCAGAATCCCCCTCTAGGGGGACGGGCAGTAAATATGCTCCTCTCCGCCTCATACTCAATTAGAATTTAACTTAGCTTAATGCACTGTCCGCGTGAACTGAAGCTGCGTTTCTGCAGCTGTATAACTGCTCAAACCAGCCGGCCTCGGCTGGCAGGAGAGAAAAGGAGCGCGCTGGGGCGCGCGGGCGATTCGTCGTCGTCCGTCCTCGGTCTTCCTCCTCCCTTCCTATTCCTGATAGAGGTTTAGCTTAACGGATATCTGTCTTATCAATGTCTCATCCCGCCTCCGCTCTCTCTGAGCAGAGTGAACATGAGATCTTAATTCCTTTGTCATCTTACCCCGATTCTCAGAGGAAAGACTGGTTACCAGCCGAAACGCGCGACTCAGTCGACGCGGGGCCATTAGATACAAAAGAAGATCTTTCAGTCGCGCCCCGCGATTCAGTCGCTGCGGGAGAGAGCTACGATAAGACTAATATCGTGTCTAATATCTCGAGAAGCGCTGATGGGCGCGTTGAACAACATGATGGGCACGATGCAGATAGAGTCGGTCCTATTCAAGACCGAAGCCTTCCTTCAACTATAGCCGATCGGTCATGGGATAACCGAAATGTCGGTAGACGTATCCCCCACAGGGGCTCCGATATGTGATCGTGAGCAAACCCCCGATGCTCACGGGCGAGAAGGCGCCACACCAAGGCCCAGGCAAGGTGCATTCTCTTCAAGGCTGACTACCAAATCGACGGAGTCAATAAGTCCCATCCAGAATACTCCACAAACTCCTGCCATTGCCGTTGGCAAAGCCAGCCGGCCAGGGGAGGCCCAAGGGAACCCGAATACGTATCCTAATATCCCCGTAGAATGGGTGGGTACGCACGTTATTGCCCCAACCCCTATAGCACTTAACGGACAATGCGGTCAGGATAGCGATGATCCGATAGACAAAGATCACGATATATATATATATATATATATATATATATATACATACATACATACATACATACATACATACATATATATATATATATATATATGTATTCCGTGGAAGAAAACTCTGGTAGTATCGATAATGATATTTCCCTGAGCCGAGCATCGTCCGTGATGATGGATGAAGACATCCTTGCTGGAGACGAAAGGTGGTCTCCAGATGGATCCGATGAAGACACTAGTATCCTGACGCCTCAGGCGGACAGGACGGAGACTCAAACGAAGCATGAAAAGGAGTCCATTGGGCGAACTCCTGCGCTTAATCTCAAGAAACAACGGAATGAGGACTATGAGCTAAACGTCTCGCCATTAAAGGAAGGTTTCTTGCGTAATGCCACCACCTCAGGTGAATGGCAACCCACCATTCCAGCTGTTGTTGAGGACGAAGAAATGGTCGGGCAACAAGATATATATATCAAGATATATATATATATATATATATATATATCATCATCATACCTACCGGTGTGATCTCGCACTGCTTTATTTCGACCGACCGTGTGCCCATAATGCGGTCGTGCTGGTGGTTGTGCTGGCGGCCGTGCTGGTGGTCGTGGTTGGTGGACGTGCTGGTGGTCGTGCTGGTGGTCGTGCTGCTGGCCGTTCTGGTGGAGGTGCTGGCAGTCGTGCTGGTGGTCGTGCTGGTACTTGTGCTGGTGGTCGTGCTGGGAAGTGCTGGTGGTCGAGCTGGTGGTCGTGCTGCTGGCTGGTCGTGCTGGTGGTCGTGCTGGTGGTCGTGCTGGGCTGGTGGTCGTGCTGGTGGTCGTGCTGGCGGTTGTGCTGGTGGTCGTGCTGGTGGCTGGTCGCGTTGGTGGTTGTGCTGGTGATCGTGCTGGCGGTCGTGTTGGTGGCCGTTCTGGTGGAGGTGCTGGTGATCGTGCTGGTGGTCGTGCTGGTGGTCGTGCTGGTGGTTGTGCTGGTGGTCGTGCTGGTGGCTGGCCGTGCTGGAGGTGCTGGTGGTCGTGTTGGTGGTCGTGCGTGGTCGTGCTGGTGGCTGGCCGTGCTGGAGGTGCTGGTGGCTGGTCGTGCTGGTGGTCGTGCTGGTGCTTGTGCTGGTGGTCGTGCTGGCGGTCGTGTTCGTGTTGGAGCCCCCCCTCCCCCTGCGCCCCCCTCCCCTTATTCCGACCGACCGTGGGCCACCCCCCCCGCTTCTCCCCTGCGCCCCCTTCCCATTATTCCGACCGACCGTGGGCCACCCCCCCCGCTCCCTCCCTGCGCCCCCCTCCCCTTATTCCGACCGACCGTGGGCCACCCCTCCGCTCCCCCCCCTTGCGCCCCCCTCCCCTTATTCCGACCGACCGTGGGCCCCCCCCCGCTCCCCCTTGCGCCCCCGTCCCCTTCTTCCGCCCGACCGTGGGCCACCCCCCCCCGCTCCTCCCCTGCGCCCCCTCCCCTTATCTGACCGACCGTGGCCCCCCCCCGCTCCCCCCCTGCGCCCCCGTCTCTCTATTCCGACCGACCGTGGGCCGCCACCCCCGCTCCTCCCCTGCGTCCGGGCCACCCCCCCGCTCCTCCCCTGCGCCCCCCTCCCCTTATTCCGACCGCGTGGGCCCCCCCCCCGCTCCCCCTTGCGCCCCGCCCCCTTGCGCCCGCTCCTCCTTTGCTTATTCCGACCGACCGTGGGCCAGCCCCCCCGTTCCCCCTTTGCGCCCCCCTCCCCTTATTCCGACCGACCGTGGGCCCTCCCCCCCCGCTCCTCCCCTGCGCCCCCCTCCGACCGACCATGGGCCCACCCCCCGCTCCCCCCCTGCGCCCCCTTCCCCTTATTCCGACCGACCGTGCCCCCCCCCCCCCCCCCCCCCCCCTCCCACCCCCCCCCCCCCCCCTTCCCCCCCCGCTCACCCCCTGCGCCCCCCCCCCCTTAGTCCGACCAACCGTGCCCCCCCCCCCCCCCTTCCCCCTGCGCCCCCCTCCCCTTATTCGACCGACCGTGGGCCCTTCCTTCCTCCGCTCCCCCCCTGCGCCCCCTTTCCCCTTATTCCGACCGACAGTGGGCTCCCCCCCCCCCCTTCCCCCCCTTGGCCGTTTCGGAGGCAATCTTAGCCATCTTGGAGGCCTCTTGGCCCGTGTTGAGGCCCTCTTGGGACCGTCTTGGAGGCCTCTTGGGCCGTCATGGGGCCATCTTGGGGGCCTCTTGGGCAATTTTGGGGCGATCTTGGGGGCCTCTTGGGCCGTCTTGGACCGTCGGAAAGCCGAAAAGGCGCAAATGACCAAATCCTTCCCAAACCCAAAGAAAATCAATGATTTTGGCCTCTTCGGGCCCTCCTAGACGACCTCTTGAAGGCCTCTTGGGCTGTCTTGGAGGCCTCTTTGGAGCCTCTTGGACCGTCTTGGGCCTCTGGGACCCTTCCGAGGCGACCCCGGCGGACAGGCCAGGCGGCCGGGAAACTCGCCGCCGCCCGCCGCTCGGTGAGCGAGCCTCGAGCCCGAGGCGAGGATGAGTTGCCTGGGCCAGCCTCGGGTCGGAGGCGAGGACGGTGAGGCGGAGGAGGAAGCGGAGGGGGAGGGGGAGGAGGCGGAGGTGGAGGGGGAGGAGGAGGACGAGAAGGAGGAGGACGAAGACGCAGCGTGCCCGGCCGCATGCCGACGGCGAGGGCGACTCCGCCGCCACGCGCCGCACCGCCCCAGAAGGTGGAGAGACGGCGAGGACAAGGAGGAGGTCGAGAACCAGGAGGAGGAAGGGAGGCGGGACAGGAGAAAGTGGAGGTGAGGAGGGGGAGAAGGAGGACGAGACAGAGGACAAGCGACCTTCCTCCATACCCAAACTGACATGCTTCTAGCCGCCCCTTCCCGTCTGCGAATCTGTCCCTTGCCAGCGTGTCGCAGCAATTGCGGCGCGCTTCCCGGCGCCTGCCAAGGACTGCCTCCCTCGCGATCCCTGGTTTTCTCCATCTCCCATGGACCCACATCGTCATTGTATGATCCTTGGCACGCGTGCCCCTTGTATATATGTACCCAGCTAATCACACAAGACTAAAAGGATGAGGAGCTCTTAAATGCGCCCAAACCGCCAGAAAGTACTTTCACTCTCCCCAGATCGAATGCTTCGAGCAGGGGAAGACCCAAAATACCAAGATCAGGGGCGAGGTCTACCTCTAGGAGTAGCAGTACAGTTTCTATGATGGAGGTATGTTGGAATCCCAATCCTGGCTGTGCGCCTCAGGCGGAGAACAGATGCCCAGGAAAAGCCAACAAGCCTGAAAGCGCATGTAGGAACCCAGTGTGCAGGAGTTGCTCGGACGTTTGCAACAAGTGTAACATGCAATGGCTGTGCGCAGAGTGCTACCCAATGGACGAGCACAACTGCACGTACCTCCTCATACAAACTGTTCAAGACGAGGCCAGGCTAGCAGAGGCTAACACCCAGAGAGAGTTTCTGACTCATGAGGCGCATCTGGCTGAAAGGGCTCGATTGAACAGAGAAGAATTAGCTGAGACTGTGATCGAAGCCAGGAAAACGTTTGGGGCTGAGCGGATCGCCCTAGCCATGGCCGCCAGAGAGCGTGAATAAGCGCTGATAGAACATCTGCACAATCAGACTGAGGCCGTGAAATGGCAAGTGGGGAGGGAAGCGGAAGATACATACAGAGAATTATTGACTTCGGAGAGACGGGCCGTCATGATGGCGAACGAAGAATCTGCGGACGCCCATGCGGTTGCCGCTGCCGTCGCAGTGGCCAAGATGGAAGGAGAACAAATCGCGACAGCCGTGGCGGAACGAGAAAAGCAGGGATTACAAGAAGAGCTCAAAGCCGCCAGGCTGAAAGCAGACAACACCCAA